CTTACGCATGTACAGATAAACAGCCATGGGGATAATGAAGTTCGTCGTGATAAGAACTCCTATTAAAATCTTTTGGATGTCACTTCCTGTTTAAGAAGAGGTTGAACATGTATTAATTGTCAAAGTAACACTCCCTTGATAACACATATTTATGCATGAATAAAGTTTTTAAAGTGCATGATTATTAATTTTTGTCTTGTTTTCTATAGTGTGGCCAATCTGTAAGATTCACACATTTAATAAATATCGCACATGCTATATGTTTGTTTTGAAACAATTATGTTAAATTCTGTATTTGTTTTATCAGTTTTTGGAACCTGAAAAAGAAAATGAGGACTTGTTGGGCTCTTTTGGAATGTCAGTACTACAACAAACTTGTCGATATACATTTTACTGAAGCAAAGAATAAATAAATAAACAAAAAGCTTACCCGTTTCTTTTTCTGAACCTATGAAAAAACAGGAAAGACTGTATGAAAACATCTGCACACTAAAAGTATTGCGGTTTGTTTCTTTCAGTACATAGCTTGTTATAGAACGTTAAATATAATGACAGTGCAATCTTGTTAATATATATAATTGTATCAACCCAAATAAACACTAAAATATTAATAAACAATAAAAATTAACTAAAACTATACAAGTACAACTGCAAATTAAAGTAACTCTTAATTTCAGTATCAAAAGTATATTCAAAAAACTTACATATTCCTTCCTGTGGACCTACCGGAGAAAGGAAAGACTGTGAGTACAACCGCAAGGAACAGTTTTTAAATCAGAGTACAGCATCAAGTTAGTTAAACTTGTAGGTCACTGATCTGTTCAACTGTAAGTACCAGAGGGGGGATGTTGATCAGTTTCATCTGCTTTAGTGTTAATGAAATTGACGACAGGTGCACTACAAGGGCAGCAATGAGAGATATGGTTTTACATGTGGGGGACACGTTTCCCTTCTCATCTTTTCTTACTGTTTGTTCACTAGTTTTGCATTTGGCTGCTGGTAGCATGAGGCGATATGGATACAGAGGTTGCACAGGCAGTTCATCTCATCCAGGATACGTGTTATTGTCAGAAGGTTTGCTGTGTCCCAGCACAATCTCAAGAGCACGGAGGAGAATCCGGGAGATAGGCTGTTACTCTAGAAGAGCTGGACAGGGACAGAGAAGATCCTTAACTCATCAGCAGGGCAGGTATCTGCTTCTTTGTGCCAGGAAGAACAAGATGAGCACTGCCAGAGCTACAAAATGACCTCCAGCAGGTCACTGGTCAGGAATCAGGAACAGACTTCATGAGGGTGGCTTGAAGTTCTCTAGTGGGCG